CAGAAGCAGAGTGAAAGGTTGGCTGTCAAATGATAGAGGAAAAGGAAACTGGGAAAGGATTGGACAAAAGGTCTAAACTTTCAATTATGCATGATAAAAAATTTCTGGATATCTCATGTAGAGCATAGGACCTATGATTAATAATACTGTATTGTATGCTTTAAAATTTGTTAAGAAGATAAATCTTATGTTAAATGCTGTTACTACAAAAAGAAAAAACAAAACAATTGAAAGAGTGGCAGAAAACTCTGGGAGGTTGTTGATAGGATTATAGCATTGATTGTGTTGATGATTTCAAAGGTGTATTCTTATCTCCAAACATATTAAGATTTGTACCTTAAATATGTACAACTTTTTGAACATCAACCATCTCTTAGTAAAACATTTTTAAAATAAATAAGCAAAATAATTGTTCTGTATATTTCACAATAAATTACTCATTTAGATATTCTGAAAAGTCAAAATTGTCTAAAACATGTACAAAAATAAATACAATTTCACATTTTTAGAACGTGAGGCTCAGGAGATTACCAATGATATATCATTCAGAGTCTTGTGAGCTATAAAGGGGAGTATGAATTTTAACTTGCTGCATTGGAAACAAAGGGCTTCGGGAATAGAAGTGGCATGGTTTTATTTACTTACAACAACTTAATTTTACAAAGGAGCATTAATTACATCAGCAGGAGAAACAACTAGGAAACTGTTGCTGAGATTCACATACGAAATTGGGCAGCCTAGATAAGCAAATGGAAATAAATCATCGGATATTTTTCCCACTATTCAAAACAGAGAGTCACCTAAGCAACTAATAACATTTCATGATTATGCTAGTGTTCTCAGTAGGTCAATCCCTATGCAAAAGGTCAATCCCTATGCAAAAGTTCACTAGGCTCACATATTCAGTAACAATATGTAAGCCTGCCATAGGGCTAATGGTCTGCACTAGATTTATATTAAATAAGCAACTTTCTGATTGACTCCTAAATTAAAACTTTCTTTCTATCTTAGGGAGTGTTAATTCAAAGATGTCAATATTGCAATATTTCAGAAGTAACATTACTTTTGGTAAGCATTTAAACTGGCATTTTGATCTGCATAACAACTTTTGATGAAATGCTTAGAATTATTCAATGCTACTGAATCTGATAAACTTGCAGTAAACTAGCACTAATTATATACCACATTGACTTAAAGAGTATATGGGGCTTTTATTAAATAGAAAAGCATCTCAACAATGTGTGTGAAATAGTACAGGTTTTAGATCATTGGTAGTAACAACTGAGCATATGAAAAATGCTAACTAAATAAAAGAAGCATCTTTCTCATTATACTGAAATTTTTCTTTCTGCAGCTTAGACAGTGTGAATATATTTTGAAAAAATACAATAAATATGTCATTAAAAATAGCTCTATCATAATGAAAAAAAAATAGACAAAACCTCAAATACAAGTTTGCTATTTTCAGCTTACTGTATATGTGGGTATCCAGTAAACTTTAGCTTACTGGATTTGTAATCATCACTTAACCATGTGGGGCTACAACTGCTTTCTCTTTAAAAGTATTAAGCATGATGAAGATTGATATCACATTTGGCTCTGAAGTCCCCTGTCCTATATAATGTGAAATAGAATTCATTGGCACAAGAAAGCAATAATAAAGGCCACAAAAGGAAAAGCTGAGATTTGGCCATGTCAGAATCCAGCTTAGTTTTATATGAATGGACTCGTCTTCAGCCACAAAAGGTTCCCCTTGCCCCAGAAACACATTCATTCACCTACCCATTCAATCAGGACTATTATTCTGAAAAGAGTAAGATTTATAAGATACCTACCAAAAATATGCAGATGCATAAAATTCAGTTTGACATGATAGAAATTAAAACAAACAATATAAATATCCATCAACAAAAATACACTGGAAACTTAAATGTCAAATGTTAACTGAAAGAAACAGAGCACCACATTCAACTCCTTAATTTATATTTTACCTAATTAGTCTAGTTCTCAATGCACTGTAACAAATTCATTCACTAATAGAAAAAATACATATTGTTTACAATATGATAATTAATACATCCAACAAATACTGATGTACTGTGTGCTAAGTGCTGTGCTAAACAGTGGCCATTGTACTCACTCTAGTGAATAAGTCAGACAAATAAATGAGAAGGATGATAACAGAGAGCAATAAGTAATTTGAAGAAACTAATTATGGTGTTATGAAAAATGAGTATTATGAGGATTCCAGCCATTCTCTCACATGACCTTTATATCAAAAAAGAATTATATTCCTACTAATGTTATATCCATACCAATTTTATGAAGTATAATATTTCTACATTTTATGTTAATGACAACGACAAGACGAAATGGTTAAAATTATTCTGTCTTTTTATTATTATTATACTTTAAGTTCTGGGGTACACGTACTGATCTTGCAGGATTGTTACATAGGTATACACATGCCATGGCAGTTTGCTGCCTCCATCCCCCATCATCTACTATCCTGCCTTTTAAGCTATTGTGTAATTTAGTTTTCCATGTTACTGTAAAGAGAGTTTTAATATTATCCATGAATTTAGTGACTTAAATATACATTAGTTGTCTCCTTCAAGCCACAGAATAAATCTGCAAGGTCACTTAGTCTAATTTTCTCAATAAAAATACTTTAAAAAGATGTATTTGGCCGGGCATGGTGGCTCAGGCCTGTAACCACAGCCCCTTGGGAGGCCGAGGCTGGCAGATCACGAGGACAGGAGATCAAGACCATCCTAGCCAACATGGTGAAACCCTGTCTCTATTAAAAATACAAAAAATTAGCTGGGCGTAGTGGTGCACACCTGTAGTCCCAGCTACTTGGGAGGCTGAGGCAGGAAAATCGCGTGAAGCCGGAAGGTGGAGGTTACAGTGAGCCGAGATGGGCCGCTGCATTCCAGCCTGGTGACAGAGCAAGACTCTGTCTCAAAAACACAAACAAACAAACTACATATATATATATATATATATATATATATATATATATATATATATATATTTAAAAGAACATAGCTTTTCTAAAAGTACCTAATTAGTGATTAAGCAAGGCAAGGAATTCACGTATTCTTGAAATCAAGTTTTGGAGTTTTTTTCTCTGTATGTTTTTAAACAATTATTACTGCTGTTTAAAGAATGACCAACTGAAAAGCTTTTGTGCTTACTGAAATTTCAAAAGATTCATTGTGAATAATTAAGTTAATCAAAATGGTATGGATCTTCTCCAGGTACACAAACTCCTGGGCAGAATAAATGGTATTCCTTAGGAGACTTCTGGCAGTTTGTGATTTAAACCAGAAAACCACTATGTGAAAAGAGACAAACACAATAACAACATATAGAAATAAATCCAGGTAACTATTGTCACTGAAGGTCAATAAAGCTTTTTTACTAAAGTGTAGAGAGAGAGATTTTTCACGAGAGGGCTGAAAGATGGTGACTTATGCTCTTCCAGTTAAACAGAGAGTTTCAGGAATAACTAAAGTGTCAATAACCTTTGAAATTTAATTAAGAAAAAACTGAAAAGATGAGGAATCATTTTTCAGGTGTAGCTTAGTCACTGGAAAAGTTAAGAGATGAAAGTAGGACTTTCAGAATAAATATCTGAGAAAGTTTAGGAGAAAAGCTAAGATTCAAGGAGTGAACATTTTGATCATGGCTTATAGTAAATAAAAGCCACTATAAAGATCAAAGAAGTTTTAATTTTTTTAAAATTATATTACTTCGAAATACATAAACAACACAACACACACATTTTTCTTTTCCAGTCTTCCATCCAAAACCCAAAGTAAATAAATGTGAGAGGGGAGGGAAAGAGGGACAGAGAATGAGAGAGGGAAAAGATTAGAGAAGAAGGACAGAAAAGCTGACATGGTGGAGAAAAGATGTACTTTATGGTACCATGTGACCTAGCTGTCCTTCTCACTTAAACTTACTGTGAAGATACAAAACAGGAAAGACAAAAAAAAAAAAAAAAAAAAAAAAAAGAAAGCTTGCGTCTGTAGCACCCATCTCTTTAGACTTCACACCTGCATCTTCCTAGAGCCCTTACTATTACTGAAGGAAAGTCAGCGCTTCCTAGCCAGAAGCTGGCCTGGCTACAGAGCATTCTAGAAGCAGCCGGTTCTTCCTTTCCACGGGCGTTCATGCACCACGTTGTCTTCTCTTCCCCAGACCTCCGCCAGGGTCTGGGTTGACTGTTGACTCTTGCATTTCGGTGTAGGGTCTAAGAGACAGTGTCACATCCGAGAAGACCTGGAGTGTGCCTTTTCCCGGAAGGGAATACTAGTGCGTCCGTCCCGCGGGGTTACACTCCCTAATCCACAAAACCGTGACTTTTCCCGGTGGCTTTTTCCGCCCACCTCGCTCCTGTTGCCTTTTGGTTTGTTTGGGTTTTGTTAAAGGGTGAAGGGCTAAGCCCCGCCCACCGCCCTAAGTGGCCTGTCACTCCGTCCCGCTGTGCGGTCCTGATTGGTCGGCAGGACCGGGTCGTCCGGCCCCGCCCCCGCTTCCCTAGCCGCGCTCCGGGTCTCGGGTTTTAGCCCAAGGTGGAGAGCGGGATTCCGGCGAGCGGCGCTGGGAGCAGGTGCAGAGGCATCCTTTTTCCGGCTGTTGCTGCTCTTCTTCCTCCAATCCTGGGTCTCAGTGAGGAAAGGACGAACATTCTTCCTGTGCCACTGGAGCTTTAGAGAACTGTTGCTCAGAGCCTAGGCACTTCAGACATTTCATCTCACTCGTTTTTGTGATTTCACTGTAAAAATCACCTGCACATTTATAACCCTGTGACTCTCTTCTGCTCTATGCTGAGCCCGGGTCCGCTTACTGCGGGGAGCTGTCTAGGGTGCTGAAGCTTCCCAAACGTTTGTCTACAGACTACACCAACACCACGCGGGGTTAGATTGCACATTTTCATTCTGTCTTTCTGGTTCCTCATGCCTTGGATAAGACTATTTTCAGGACCGTGAATATCTCTCCGTATCATGGCCCACGTGAGACACTTTCGGACATTAGTTTCGGGATTTTACTTCTGGGAAGCAGCATTGTTACTCAGGTGAGTCCGCTTGGATTTAACAGTTAGAGAACTCATTAAGCCTGTGCATTATGTTGCAACCACTTGTTATTGATGAAACAGCGAAATTTGCAATTCTATATTGACTTGTTGAAACACACCATTTTCTCGTATTGTTTTCTATCTAAATTATCTAGCAGTCTATCTATTGAGACCTAGTCATTTGCTCTTTTATTGATTAGTGCATTTTAGTAACTGGCATCCTACGTTATTTGTAGCTGAGAAAAAAACAAATTATTTCAGAAGCCTATGTTTTCCTTCTCAAATTTCTTTTAAAGTTTTTCTTTTCTAAGTGAATTATGTAATTTGGGTATTACTGTCTTTCTGAAAGTTACAAAACATTTAGTATTTAGAAATGAGACATTACTTTTTTCAAAGCAGAAATGTAGACCATGGTCATTCACTGATGAGAGAAACTCAAAACATTGTTGATATATTCAGAGGTAAGTTAAATGAATCAAAATAAAGGCCTAGCAAGTACTATTTTCTAATGACCTAGTTCAGGTAATACATGAAGGTAAAATCATAAATAGATTATTAGATCTGTTCTAGGTAAGGAATACTCTTGAAGAAAGTAATATTATAACAAAGCCATTAAACTATAAAATTGTTCTATGACATGTCATTTTCTTATAATGATCCTGCCACATTTGGCAGGCTTTAAAAAATAATTTAAAGAGTTTAAGAGAATTAGGCAAAGGATCAGATAATATTACCCCTGTTATTAATGTGTAGAAATAAGGTACTGCTCATATAGAATTTTGACCCACCAAAATAAATTTAATTTTACTGTTACAATTAGTTGCCATAGGATTTCCATTTTTATGGCTTGCAAGGTTTTCAAAGGAGTATTTAAGTCAAATAACTAGAGTAATTAAGTTATATGTATACTGATTTCTTCTTGAAGTAGGTAAATATTCTTCATTGCTATATTGAATTTTTCATCTTTGGGCTACCATTAAAACATCCAATAGTGTATTTCAAATAACCTTATAGAAAGTTATATTATTTTAATATACCTATATTTAATAGTAACTAATTGTGATAGTTATTTCTGAAATTATTTTTTTCCCAAAGTAAGAAGTTGAACCATTTTTAATCAAAGTAATTTCAATGAAAAACACTTTCATATGATTTAGTAAATTTGTATAACTTTATAGTTGTCATAAATTTTATTTGTAATAATTAAAACTGTGGAGCTTTTATATTTATGAAATTTTTATGTTAAGAAGTACAAACTTCATTTGAAAATTTAAATTGATCATTTCCCTATAATATATCTCTTAATGTCTTAGATGGTAAAATGCTCTTTTTTTCCCAAAGAAATCAGATTAGCTTAGTTGATAGATACTTAGATTTAGAAAGCTAAAGTCAGAATCAGAAATGTTTTGGTCAATGAGGTTAAATTTGTATGACAGCAATTCACTATGATATCTGTTAAAATGTTCTGAGATAAATAATCTTCATCACTAGATCCTCTGATTTTTGTTCAATTTTGTTAAAAGTTATGAAAAGCTATTTCAAATGGATGATTGTGACTATAAGAATTTATCTTCATTAATGTTAAATAATTTTAGTTAGTAATAAATTTTATGAGTAACCCAAAAATGTAAATCTTTGAGAAGATATACAACAAACAAAAGTTTACTTCTTACTTATATTCTTCATCAAGTTTTTATTTCTCCTTTCATAAATCAAATAAATTTTTCTCTATCTGTAACTAGTCTTAGATGAGAGTAGGTCATCACTCTATGAAGAACTTTATTCATATTTTTAAAAAATTACGGATTTTCACTTTTAGTGATGATCCTCAAAGGAAGATTTCCTATAGAAAAAAAAGGAAGCTCCCTCTACTGGAACTATTTTGTACAATAAATGTCTTCTTGGGAATGATTCTTTATTTTCTAATTCTAGTCCTGATGTATTGAGCACAAAGGAAACAGGAAAAAAAGATAAAGAAAAAAAATTATTGGCATTAATTCCTAATACGTTTTTAAATTTGAAAACATCTTACCAGGGCAATTTGGAGGCAAGAACAACCACCAGAAACCACCGATATTTACAAGTAAATAATTACTGGTACAGACTTTTTATTTCATAGGCTTTAAAGATTTTTTTAAAGCTTTTATTGAGATACAACACACAGAGACAAAAGTGCACATTTCCCTCTAGATAAAGTTTTACAAAGGGAACACACTCAAGTGAAGAGACCACAGTTCAACAAGTAGAAGTGTGATTGTCACAGAAGCACTCACCCCACTGTCTTCCTCCACCATAATCATTTCCAAGGCACTACCTTGGCCAAAGGTAATCACTCTCCTAACTTACACAAAAATATATGTTTTTTTTTTCCATTTTAGAACTTTATATAAATACTTCGAGTCTGCTTTATTTTTATAAGCATCATGTTTATATGATTTATCCATACTGTTGCATGTAGCAATAGCTTATTCATTCTCATTGCTGTATGATATTCCATTATATGAATACATCATAATTAACTTATCTATTGTCCTGTTGATTTGACAATTTCTTTGGTTTTGTTTCGCACTGTTATGAATATTTTTGAACATATTTTGTTGTGAATACATGGATGCATTTTGGATCATTAAGTTGAGGTACAAGACTTTCTTTTGAAGGGGAATTGCTAAATGTAGCATAGGAATTAGTATGTTTAACTTTAGTAGGTACTGTCAGTTTTCCAAAGTTGTTGTACGTTTTAAACACTCCCATCCGCAATGTATGAGAGTTTCTATTGCTTACTAGTACACAATTCGATCACTGTAATGTTATACTATACAAATTTTTAGCATTTCTAGCATATTTTTAGAATCCTACAGATGATACTTTAGTACTTTTATGTTTTAAAAAGCACTGAAATTATCATCTTTATTTAGTAAATAAGCATTATAAGATGAAAGCAGCAGAACAGAAATATTTATAAAATATTTACAAAAAAGTTTTTAAAACTTTCATACTTGGTTTGGATATTGCTATTTTATGAAACAATTCTTCTATGGCTTTTGCGTTTTAATTATCATATTAATAAAATAAAGAACAAAATGTCAGTGTTCAGCTTTCTTTGAAATGCAGATAAGTGATTATATTATGAAGAGCTTGCAGAATAAATTCCAAAAGCAGGGAAACAGCCAAAAATATTTCATTTAAGTTGATTACTTTCTCACCATACCATTTAATTTTTTATCTTTACAAGTTTATATCAACATGTAATTGCTATTTGAATAAACTAGGGCACATTGTGTCAAAACCAGAATGTGTGCATTTCAGATGTCATAATAATAAAAATATAATATTTTCTTGGTTTACTTCAAAGCCTAAGTAAAATATTTTAGTATAGAACTTACTGGTTTTGCTTTTGGTATGTTTTGGAGGATGAGAGGAATCATTTTTTTTTTTTTTTTTTTTTTTTTTTTGAGGAGGAGTTTCACTCTTGTTACCCAGGCTGGAGTGCAATGGCGCGATCTCGGCTCACTGCAACCTCCGCCTCCTGGGTTCAGGCAATTCTCCTGCCTCAGCCTCCTGAGTAGCTGGGATTACAGGCACACGCCACCATGCCCAGCTAATTTTTGTATGTTTAGTAGAGACAGGGTTTCACCATGTTGACCAGGATGGTCTCGATCTCTTGACCTCGTGATCCATCCGCCTTGGCCTCCCAAAGTCCTGGGATTACAGGCTTGAGCCACCGCGCCCGGCCGAGAAAAATCATTTTTAATGTTGTCTCTATTTTTCTATGTAAGATATTGAAGAAAACTATATTTCTAGGAATAAATTTTTACCATTATTATGACTTACTACATGCAGATGTAGCAAGATTCTATATAGTTTTAAAAATATTTGCCATATATAACATGATTCTTCCCTTTTGGCCTGAAAATAACTATAAATTGTTTCATGTATAGAAGAATCATTGTCCAGTCAACACTTCAAGCAGTTTGCTCTGCTGATTTAGAGAAGAGCCTGAAAAATATTTCCTCTTCTATATAGTTTTTCTTTCCTTAACCACACAACTGTGTACTGAGGCAAGTCAAACAGCAATTATGTGTTTACTGTATAAGGATAAGCAATTGAATAAGATTTTTTCATGAAGTTCTGTGCACGAAATTTTGTGCTAGTACAATTTAGCTATGGATGATTGAACAAATATCACCTTTTCCATTTCAAAACTTAGAGTTTAGAAGAAACTGAAAAGAGCCAAACAACAAAAGAAAAAGTAAAGATAGCAATAGCTTAGGGAATATAAGGATGGGAAACTATCAAGATGCCTTGGTACGTGTGCTGGGCTTTGTAAGATTGGGGCAAAATGATACGTAATGAGAATTCCTATGCAAAGTGAATGATACAGGTATACAGTATGTGATTTGGAAATGGCGACTGTCAAATTCAGTTGAAGAAATTACAGTTTATGATTTAAAACTATATTGTACTAGCAACAACTATGGAGCTAGCTACATTAATACAACTACAAAAATACGGAGGAGCCACAGCATCACCTCACAATGGAATATGGCTAAAATTTAGAAACAAATAATTTAATTATAACTGAGTAGTTATTATTACAGGAATAGTTTTATAACTTGACTCAAAATATCTCTATTAGTTCTTATCCTTCAGAGGTGGTGGTTACCTCAAAATTACAATTAGTCATAGGATTGGTGGTAGTAATTATTTAAGAGCTGTGTAAAGAAACAATGACACAACTACTAGAATAAAAAATTAATCTGATTGTTTTAGAACTTGGAGACTATATAAGAATGTTTCTTCAAAATGTAATTTATTAAAAGAAATAGTGAAATCTAGTAGAAGATTTTGCTAATTGGAGAAAAAGAGGACATTGAATTTGGTTTGAGATATTTTCAAGTTAAGATGCTTGCAGAAGAGCTAGGTTTCCTGCCATCAGCTAGGAATGCAGATGATAGATTCACAAAAGGTTTTAAAGGTGAGTGTACTGTGGTGCAAAGAAG